TTGAATGTTTTTGGGAACATTCACATAAAGTTTAATGCAATCTTTCAATCGAACTCTAAGAGCTTGTTTAGATTAGGTTAATGACGTTAGAATTAATCAAAGAGCTTATTTTGGTTAATTAATGTGGTGAATGGAAAATGTTTGAGCTTTTTAATACTTTCAAGTACCAATTTAGGTAGAATTGAACAAATATCATATCATCTTGGAATCACATTGGTAAATCATTATACATAAAGTTGGAGTCTTTAAAAATTCTGAACTTACTTTAATTAGTTAATCATTTGTAGCATGCCTTGTTATTTAATTATCTTACTTTTGCAAACAAACTCCCCTTTTGTGATCAAAGTAACTTGCGTAAATAGGTACAGGCCGAGTGTCCCATGTCTCTTTGGTTCGACCATGTTTGTCTTGTACTGTTTTTTAGTGCAATATAACAGTGTTCTTTTGGAGTATATTGTACACTATCATTTTTTGGGTTTGACATGCCTAATAGAGAATGAAAAGTTTCCGATCTAATTTTTTTATAAAAATTAAAAAAGACTTTTGTATCCATAACAATATTAAAAATATATATATATATATATATATATATATATATATATATATATATATATATATATATTTTGTTGTTTCTGAATTTGGATAAAAAAAATTTTGTTATATTTTATAAAAATAATATTTTTTAAAATTAAAAAATAAATACATCAAAAAATTATTTTTAATTTTTTTTAGAAAGTCATTACTAAATTGATATATATATATTAAATTTTCATGATTGTTTTCATTTTGTAGATAATTAAATTTTATAAACTTTAGTGTTTTTTAGAACATTTTTCCAAAAAAAAAAAAGTTATGCCCAAAAAATATATAGAGAAAATTAACCACCAACCATTGAAATGATGACATTTGACAGAAAGAGAAAACGAGAGGGGGGGGGGGTTGGAAATAGTTGCATGGCCTATGTTTCTTATTGTTTTTTTTTATTTCTCAATCCTACCTTTACAACTATTAACATCTAACAAAAATTATCAATTACTTGCACATAACTAGCAAAATGTCATCATTTCGCGAGATTTTGATGATAAATAAATTTAAATCTCCATCTTTTATTTTTCTGCTAAATAGAATGTTGGTTTTTTTTCAACATCAGATGTACTCTCAATGTACCAGACCATCCCTTTCATTACTCATTATATATAAAATTATATATAAAGTAAATTACATGAATTTGTCTTGTGGTTTAAAGGTATCTATATGTTTAGTCCTTAACACTTGTTTTTTTTTTTTTAACTTGGTTCGTTCTGAGATTTTGTTTTTGTTTCGATTTTGATCATCGACTGACTTAAAAATGACTATATTACATTTACTAGATTTTTTATATCTTTTATTATTTTATTATTATTTATTATATTGAGACCTAATTATCTTACCCCATCCCCTCCACTTTCTTCCCCTCTATGATTAAAGATATGGTAGACATCTCGTTAACTCGGACAAACACCACCATTAACCTTCGACAACATCCATTGGTAAAACATAAATCCAAGGAACTTGATGAGATCAAATCTAGAAATATAAATGCTATTTCATTCTTCCAATTCCATTGCCTCCGTTGATGCATGCAACTAACCCCTTGAAGAAAAAAGCCCTTAATTGGATATCATATAATCTAACATCGATTTAAAACATGCGTTAAGCACATGCACCATTCTAAAACCCTTGTTAAAACCTTTAATAGAATCTTCCAAAAAATCCCAAAATAGTTCCAAAAACCCACATCTATGAGAAATAAATATTCAAAAAACCCACCATTAACCTCCGACATTGATTTGTAGATCAAAGTAAAAGGGTTATTGTACATAAGCTTTATATGACAGATCGTCGTTCAGACAAGATGTTGTTTGGCTTTAGATGAAAATTCTTGGTTTACTGTGCATAAGTTGTGAGAAATTTTCGTTGGTTTGGATAGGCTAGAAACGACGATGGATGTTGGCGGCGAAGGAGGAGGATGTTAATGTTGTGAGGTATAGTCGATAGTGGGGGCAGCGAATACTGATGGCAGGTATGAAGGACACTGGATGTGAGAATTCTACCATGGCAGGGGCAAAGGATGTTGGTTGTTGTGAGAGATCACCGGTGGCGGTGAAGGAGATTGTTCAAAATGAAGACCAAAGATGTCAACCTTGGGAGAAAATGAAACACTTAGGTTGCGTTTAGTTACAGAAAAGTGGGCAGTTTTCTGCAAAATTTTTCCAAAAAAAATAAGAATTTTGAAAATGCATTTACTTCGTCTATTTTTCTAAATTTTTCACGGTAAATTAAAATTTTTCGTTTTCTAAAATTACAAAGAAGTTTGAAACTTTTGAAAAACTAATAATAATTGTTTTCCATATTTTTCTAATTCCAAAATTTTTCTAAAATATAAACACCCACCCACTCTCACCCTATCCACCTCTACCTACCTCCAACCCACCACACCCCTACCTACCCACACCTACCCCGACCCCCACATACCCACAAACACACACACATACCCACACCCACACCCACCCCCCCACACACATACATCCCCACCCACACCCCTCTAATACTGTAACATCCCAAAATTTAGGTATAAATATTTAACCCTTCTTCTCTAGCAGGTTGTCAAGTATAGTCCCTAAAAGAGATGCATGGCTATCGATTACACTGGGCATACTGAAGAGTACACTACACGTAATCAAGCGCTTATTTTGGACTCAGACTCGCCTAAGTACGCTGGGCGTACCAAAGTTACGTTGGGTGCAACTGTCCCAGATGCAAAACCCTAATATGACTTAAGGGCTATAAAAGGAATGTTATGGTCTTATGCTCAGCCACCATTTCGAAGAGAGAAACCCTAGGAGGACATCAGTCAAAAGCTAGTGTGTGAGTGTTCTTGAGCTAGAAGTGCCTTTGTGTGTTAGTGAAGAAGAAAAGGAGGTTCTTGTGGAGGCTAGAAGTTGGAGTACAAGCTTGGATCTGAGTTCTACAGGGGGGAAGCTTCACCTGGAGGTAAAATGCTCAAAGCTTTCCTTTCCCCTTTTGTTTTGTGCTTCATGGACAAATTCTTAGGGTTTTTGGTCCCAATTTGGAGACTTTATGAGCAAATGGTCTCCATAAGCTCAGATTTACCATATTTCAGACTAATATGAGTTGTAGGATCATAAAAATCCAATCTTGGACGTGAATAGTAAGTCATGCATGAGTTACTGATTATTTAGGAAAGAGATCATATGTTTGAAATAAATGGTAACCTTTACAGCCATGTAAATTCTTAAAGGTTTCAACTTTATGGGTTAAGTGACTTTAGAAAAGCCAGATATGGATCTTGAGTTTATGTCTTAACCATTTAAGACCTAAAATCCATAAATGCATGAACTGGGACTTACGTTGGGCGTAAATCTCAATACGCGCAGCGTTAGGGTCAGAGACCCAATTTTTCTGGATCGCCGATGTACGCCCCGCGTATACGAGTTGGTACGCCCCACGTATTGTTCCGTGTTGACTTTTGTTGACTTTTAGGGTTTTAGTCAACATTTGGACTTTTGGGTCAAGGAGGGGTAATATGATCTTTTACCCTTCTGTGGGGTAGTAGAAAGGGATTTAATCTAGCCTTGAGAGCTATTATTTATTTGAGGATATTGTTTATGTTATTAGGCGGAGACTAGATCAGTATATTTGTGTGCGAGATTATCCGAGTTACCCGAGGTGAGACTTCTCACTATACTTTACCTAGAGTGGTAAGTAGAGTTATGTGATAGAGTACTTTGTATGCTTTTGTATGATGTGATTTCTACGTGATTTGTGCTATGTATGATTCAGAGTTTACAGAGTTAGGGCCGGAAGGTCCACAGAGTTAGGACCAAAGGATCCACAGAGTTATGGGACTGAAGGGTCCCACTGATACACATTGACTAGAGGGTCATACAGAGTTATGGCCTCGAGTAGCTAATATGTGTTGTATATGGTATTTTGTGGAACTCACTAAGCATTTACGCTTACCGTGTTATGTGTTATGTGTTTCAGGTACCCGTGATGATCGCGGGAAGGCGCCAACATGATCCGTACACACAGACAGATAACTTTATTTGTGATCTTGGGATATGTTTTGTTGATAACAATTGTTGAACATGAGATTTGAGAATGGTTAATTGATAACTATATTGTTTGACAAATGAAAAATTGTTTTGAAAAATTACGTCGTTACAAATACACACATACACACAAACCCACACCCACCCCCACCACCACCCCCATAAACACACATATGCACACACAAACACATACACACTCACAAACACACCCACCCAACTAACACCACTACCACAATCACCGACCTACCATCACCATCACCATCACTACCACCACCATTACCCCATCACCAGCACCGGCACCACCATCGCCGCCGCAACCATCACCACCACAGTTGTTGTCGTACCACCACCGCCTGGCATCACCTCCATCGCTGTTGACCCGCTACCGTCACCGCCCCTACCTCCACCCTACCACTGCTACCGTTTTCTAAAAATAAAAATTAATAGAAAAATACACATCTAAATACGTATTCTAATTTTTTTATAATTAAAAATGAAAAATAAATAAGTTTTAACTAAACGTATTTGGTGTTTTCTAAATTTTCCAATGAAAAACGAAAATTAAAAACAAAAAACAAAAAGCAAAAACATTTTTTCCATAATTAAATACAACCTTAATTTATGATCTCTTTTATTTTTAGTTTTGATATTTAATTTAATTCATATAACAATAAAAATAATAATTAAATAAATCAATGGTCAAAGTCCGAGACCAAAATCAAAACAAAAGCAAAACTATATTGTGATCCAGGTTAAAAAAAGGAAAAAAGAAAAATAGGGTTAACAAAGCAAGCTACAGGGACCATTCGTGTAATTTACTCTTATATATAACAGCCTCACATCTTCATTCTCCCCATCCCTGTATCTCCTTCCACCTACACTCAAATGGCGGCACCTTCCGACTCTCAAATGGACAAACTCACCTCCGACATATTCTCCATTCTCGAAAACAATTTCTTATTCGGTTACGACAATCCATCGCAACAAATCAAATCACCCACCGGAAAAATCAGAATTCTTTCCATTGATGGAGGTGGAGCCACCGACGGTATCTTAGCCGCCAAATCGATCCTCCATCTAGAATCCTCCCTCCGCCGTAAATCTGGAAACCCAGATGCCCACATTGCAGATTTCTTCGATGTTGTTGCAGGATCAGGAATCGGTGGTGTTCTAGCCGCTTTACTTTTCACTAAAGGAAAAAATGATCGGCCATTGTTCACCGCCGACGAAGCACTTAAGTTTGTGACGGAGAATGGGCGGAGACTTTGTCGGTCTTCTAAGCAAGGTCTTCTCCGCCGAATTTTTCAGTCTCCGGTGAAGGTTTTTGACCGGACGTTTGGAGATTTGACGTTGAAAGATACTCTTAAAACGATTTTGATCCCGTGCTATGATCTTACCATGGGCGCACCGTTTGTGTTTTCTCGTGCTGATGCGGTGGAGATGGACGGATGTGATTTCAAGCTGAGTGACGTGTGTGCCGCCACAACCGCTGTTCGTGGACCGGCTAAAACATTCTCCGTCAACCGGAGAACGAAGATTGCAGCTGTCGGAGGTGAGGTTGCGATGAACAACCCAACGGCGGCGGCGATCACTCACGTCCTATATAACAAGCAGGAGTTTCCGTTTTGTAACAGCATCAACGACCTACTTGTTGTATCCCTAGGTAACGGAGAGCCGTTATCTGTTATGGCCGGCAACCGAACACCGTCGCGAACGGCGTTGGTTAAGATCGTCGGTGAAGCAGTTTCCGACACGGTGAGCATTTTTGCATTAAATACTTTAATTGAAACATGAGCTATAAAACCGTTTACTATTCGTACAACTATTTAACCCTAAAGTACGAACCTGCGAAAAAAGGCGTTTTGACCCTTTTCTTTTTGCTATAGTAATAGTCAGAGATCTAACGTACAAATGATCAATGCATGAGAAAGGATATATTTGTCATTTTAACTCAATTTGGAATTTGGCAAAAAGGACAATAAATAAATAATAAAATCGTCGGGTACATGGCATTATGGCAATGTTAATGGTCCAAAGTATGTAGTATCAACCCTATTTTTGGTAGGTGCAATTAAAGTGGATGCAATAATTGTAATTATTATAATGGTCCATAAAATATTTTAAAAATAACTTAAAAAAAATTTAAACCACAATAGTCGGTTGTCGCATAATGAATTATATTTTTATGCTTTACCTTTATTTTTGTTTTAACTAAAAAAGATAATTTAATAATGTATGTTCATTTGTCCTTAGTTGGTCTTGTATTTTCTCGTATATGTCGTTATTGTATGAAATATATCTCAAACATCATATACACCTTTTCACATTAGATGTATATGCATTTTTATATGATTGTTGAAAATTATAACCCTAACTATAATTTATATATGATATATTTTTAGGTTGATCAAGCGGTATCAATGGCATTTGGACAATCGCGAACAAGTGGTTACGTACGTATCCAAGCAAACAAAGGCTTATTGGATCTTGAACAACATAATAAGGATGTAAACATGTTGTTACTAGCAGATAAAATGTTAAAACAACAAAACGTGGAATCGATACTATTTCATGGAAAAAAGTGTAACAGTACGAATTTAGAGAAGTTAGATTTATTCGCAGGTGAAATCTTGAAGGAAAACGAGAGGCGGAAGACTGATGTTCTACCTTTAGTTTTACTAAACGAAACAACTACATCGTCTTCTGCAAGATCATCATCGGCCACAACACTGTCCACTATCTCATCAAGTTAATCAGGTTAATCAGATTGAGATTGTTGTGTTTTGAATTTTCCGCCGACACTTCTAATGAAACAGTGTATGTGCTGGGTTACGTATCCGAATTATAGAGATTGTTTTTGTGATTGTGTTGTGTTTGATTTTTCATGTATAGTTACTTAATAGAAGTATTAACAAAGGTTTGAGGGTGGGCTTATTATCACAAGGGTTGATTTTTTCCCCCTTGTAGCATAATTTTATAGTGAAGTTTGATATTGTGGTTTGGCTTGGAAAGGTGTGATCTTCTTTGTTTGGATCATTTGATATTTTCTATTGTAAATCTTGGTCCTATAACTATGGTGCGATTATAAGTTTTATTTATATGATATATGAAAGAGTAAAATGTTTGTTTATATAATATTTTCATCATTTTTTCTTATTAGGCAACAAAGTGTTTTGGAACGTTTCATTCAAGGATCAAAATATGCAAGCATTTTAGTTATAACTTGTTTTCACCGATTGAAATGTGGTTGCATAATCTTGTCTAATTTTGCAAAGGAGTGACACGTTAAATAGGTAAAATATGAGTATTGCATAAATTAATGATAAAGGATTGTTGCATACATAAGTATTTAATTGTTCATTTAAAAAATCGTCACATAAACTAAGAAAGTTTAGGTTTAAAACTTTCTCGGTTATTTGATTTGCTAGCCATAAAGTTATGTTTATAAGATGGGAAGTGATAAAGATAGCAACGTATGTTTATCTTTTCAACATCCTATGTTGTATGTGTTATGTATCCAAGTATATAATGTATGGTTGTATCTTGTAGAAAGGGGTCATGTGGAAAATTTTGGAACATTTATCCTATGAATAGTTTTAAAATAACAATATATTTTGGAAAAATATCTTTTATCTTCATAATATTCATAGTGTCCCAAACCATTCACGACATTCAAATTTCAATCATCTTTAATTTAATAAAAGCATACCTTAAATGATATGCGAGAATATTAAAAGGGTCAAAGTCGAAGTTTAACCATATTATCAACTAAATTATCTTTCGTCCTTCTCAAGTTAAAATGGTCAAAGTCTAAGTTTAACCAAATTATCAACTAACATATCATTATGTCTCTTTTGTGATGATTAATCCTTACCTAGGACATAACATGGAAGTAGTATACTAGGAAAATATAAGCCCACTAAGTGATATAAATATTTTTAATTCAAAATATTATATTAAGAACTTCAAACAGTTCACCAAGTGTTAAACATTACTCCATTTACTTTACTTTTTACGCATAATGGTCAATCCTTCAAAAATGTATGCCTAGACATTATTGGTATTGTGTAGAATGCCAGTATGTTATTAGAAATAAATAGAGATTAAATACTTAATAAATTAACTAATAAAAAAAGATTAAAAGATATATAGATAAGATAAAGAGAATAGATTGTTCATGAGACTAGTGTTATGTGATGAGTCATATAACAAATATAAAGATGTAGAGATAGATGGTTCCATTGGGGATAAGAGATAGAGGTTCCTACGGGGACAATAGTATGATTCCTCCGGGAATATGAGTATGGTTCCTTCGGGGACAAGTGATAAAGATTCATTTGAGAATAAAGAGTATGATCATTCAAGAATAAGAGTATGGTTCATCCGGGGACAAGAGTATGATTCTATTGGGAATAAGAGATAGAGGTTCATTCGGGGACAAGAGTATGAGTCCTTCAGGAATGAGATTATATCCCTACGGGGAAAGAGATGATGATTCCCTTTGGGAATGTAGATAGATGGCTCATGCGGGAATCCAGATTGGGTACGGTTAGAGAATATAGAGAAATGTTCCCTTAGAAGATAGCAAAGATTAGAGTATGAGATGTGATCATTGGGTCTAGATGTAAACATAATGTTGAGGCATTAGAGATAAGAATAAAGAAAGCAAAGAGTAGAGAAAAGATTAAACGGAGAAGAGATAGAACAGAGAACATAGTAAGAGACAGAATAGAGATAGAGTATGAGTATGAGAAAAGTCTGAGAAGAGGCTAAGAAAAGAGTATAAGAAACAAAGTAGATGATAGATGTAACATCTACAATGGTTAGGTTTGCTTTTGAACCCTTAAGTTTTGATTTTTTTTGCAAAAAGGCTCCCCAAAGTTAAAATCTTGATTTTTTTTATGTTGCTCGTGTACTTGGAGCGTACGTCTTGGTACGCTTAGCATATTACGCTCCATGCGAGTACATTACACGTACTCCAGTATGCAGGATGTACGTGTCTCAGTCGAAAACCCTAATAATAAGGGTTTGTGTACTATTTAAACCTCATTATGTCCCAAGACCTTCCCCCTACCTCAACCTCTAATCCCTTTCTTGAACCTCTTAGCAAACCCTACTTCATTTAGAGCATTTTGAGCTTTTTAAAGCAATTGTGAGTGCTTTTTGTAGCCTAGGTTACTTGCGGCATACTTAATGCTAACCCTATGATTTTTGGTATCGTCAAGGATGGAATTATGGTGCTCATGCAGGAGCGGCTCAGGTCATTTCGAGCCGAGATTGCTGCAGGTCAGATTAGGGCTTGAGCTCCCTCATTTAGGGAGTTCAAGGTGTGTGGAGCGTATGAGTTCTTTTGGGATAAGAACCCCATTGTTAGCCAACGTTGGATCGCTAATATGGAGAATTCTCAATGAACGAGCTCTAGCCCTGAGGGAGGAAAAGGTGTGATACGCATTCTACTTGTTGAGGAACATAACATTAGGCTGGTACGAGGAGGTTACCCAAGTCGTGGGGACAGTAGGGGTGGTAGAGATGAAATGGGAAGAATTTGATTGGAGATTCGAGAGGGAGTTCGCACCAACTATAGAGGTGAAATAGATGGCTAGGGAGTTCCAGGACCTACGCTAGACTAACAAGACTGTGGCAGTGATCTCTGCCAAATTTAGGGAGAGTGCGTTACTAATTCTGCAGTATGTTGCTAGATAAGGAGATGAGGAAGACGAGATATCATGCTATGTTGAGGGATGACATTAGGGAGTTCATGACTTTCTGGGGGTGTAAGATCGTGAATGGCATGATCAAGAAGGCCAGTAAGGTCGGGGTCGTTACGCCAAGTACGGCAAGCCGTACAGTGGAGCTTGTCGAGCAGTGGGCTCAATATGTTTCAGTTGTGGCCAGTCGGGCCACATGAGTAGGGATTGACCTAAGAGGGGTCTGATTTGTTTCCATTGCAGTCGGACTAGCCATAAAAAGGTCGATTATCTGAGATTGTATGGGGGATCAATGGTAGCGCCCACACCAACTACCTTGAGGATTATCGATGGCTGCCAGGGCAAGGCGGATGCCCTCATGGTGAAGAGCAAGGCTATTCAGTTGACCGCCAACAAGGTACGTGCAACGCCAGATGTAGTGAATGGTATGTGCTCTATCTCTATCTTTTATTTGTTTCCTTTATTTATGCTTATGTTTATTATGATCTTGTATAGTGACCTTTTTGGTCAATGGGTTGTCTGGTCATGTTCTGTTTAATTCGGGGGCTACCCGATCCTTCATGTCTCTTGCGCTCAACAAGAAGTTTCAAGATGCTACCGGAACTTTAGGTTCCCCTCTAGAGGTTGAGATTGCGGATGACCATACAATGAGTGCTTCGAGGTTTTTTGAGGGTGTGTCCTGAACATGTTTGGTGAGAGGTTACCTATTGACTTTGTAGCAATTCCCTTGAGGGGATCGAAGGTGATCATTGGGATAGATTGGTTGGGCCCAAGTAGGGTCGTGATTGATTGCGAGTGACAGTTGGTGTGAGTTTGAACCCCAAGTGGGGGAGAAACTGGTTATTACTGATAAGAGAGCTTCGCATGGGCCAACTCTCTGATTAGTTGCGAGGGTTGATAGATTTCTATAGCAGGGTTATTATGGATTTTTGGCTTATGTTTTTGATACCCGGGTTGAGGCCACAACAGAGTTGAGCAGGGTGCCCATTATGTAGGATTTTCCTAAAGTTTTTCTCAAGGAGTTGCATGGAGTGCCTCCCAAGAGGCAGGTCGAGTTTCGGATTGACCTGATACCTTGTTCGGCTCCGATAGCCAAGGCGTCGTATCACCTGGCACCACTTGAGATGCAGAGTTGTCTACGCAGCTGCAGGAGCTATGTCACAACCCCAAACCAAGGATGGCAGAAACGTCCGGGGGTGGAGGACTTCATGTATAGTATCATAACCACAATTGCAATAGTAATTTAAGCCGACACAACCAACATATATATAATTGAAAGAGTTACATCATTTTATGAATTACATGTTTCCAAATCAGTTACGATATGTTAACAAAATGTGAAATGTTTGACGCCTTAACGTCCAATCCTTAAAATGCACTTGATTACCTGTTTAGTGATTTCCTGAGAATACAAGTTGTTTAAAAAAGTGTCAACACAAAGGTTGGTGAGTTCATAAGCTTTTGTTTTGACTCGATAAAAGCCTTTCTCTTGTAAATGTAATGTTTGTTCTAGAAAAATCCTATATTTTCCTTAAAATATGTAATGTAGTCTTATATCCCAAGAACAAAATGTATGAGTAACCTTTCTTACTTATAGTAAATAATGCAAGTTTAAATCGGCATAAACTCTTTTAATTTCGATGAAATTTCCATAAATTTCTATGTTTGTTAATACTTTCTGTGAGTTATTATAACCATGCTATGACCTAGTTGGCTTGAAACGACGTTCTTCAGGCGTCGAAAATGTTACGACATTTGTCACCCCAGACCTGCCGGTCTAACTGTTGCATGCAGTTAAGGTGTAAGTTGGTCAAACCCAATATAGATCTATATACGACTATCACGCTCTCCCTCCAGGAGACTCTGGTTACAATACAAGACTTATTGGTAAATGTGAAGCGAATATCTCACAAAGTCATTAACGAATTTACGTGTAATGTAATGAAAATCCCTTTTCGTATAAATGTACCCTTTTTGTATGAGTGTGTTATGCAATGTATCATAAACTATACCTATTATAGTTTATCAAAACAAGGGTAGTAGTGGTAATGTACGTATACTATATTTAACATAGTTTATTCAAATGTTTGTATGTAATGGATGTACTTTGATTATAACAATTTGTTATCTTTTATATCCCATATATATATATATATATATATATATATATATATATATATATATATATATATCAAAATCCATTTATTAACTGATGCATGTCTATATACCAAGAGAAAATGTCATTTATTTGCAATAACA